ATAACTTTTTTTTTTTAATTGAATGAATGTACTATATTTTGTTTAATGCTTTGTATTTTGAAGGGATTTCATGTTACAAGACAATATTCACCTCGAAATGATGCACCTTTTATTTATACATAAATAATAGAAAATACAGTATCTCACACACCCAAGTCATTGGTAGATATGACAGATAAAAATCCAATATAGACTTGAAAAAAATTATAGATCCTGCACACAACTCAAACTTGCATTATTTATGAAATGTTATTATCAAAATGACAGTCAATAGACCTTCCTCAGGCAAATGTATCAGAAAATGTAAAAAAAAAAGACTCACTTTTGTGCTTTGTTTAATGTGCAGGTTTCATACATTTATTTGCGCACATAATTGTTTTACATTAATAGTGTTTAACTTTAAAATATTTGTTTAAAATATGATTGTTTTTTAAAATATGTAATATTAAAATATATCAAATGTATTTATTTTCAATATGAGTAATTTAAAATCCAGTGCTTGGAAGGCAGATCTTTTTTAAGTGCTAGAAAGTGTTTTTAGACATAATTACTCACTTTTACTAGGTTTTTCATTTGAATATATATTTAGACATTATCAAAGACTACTTAATCTTAGCTGTATTTTTCATTTGTTTGTTTTTTAATTCTTAAATATATTTTGTAAGCTATTTTTGGTCTTGGTTTTTCTGTAGTGGTGTGTCTTTTAATTTTTATTCTTGCTCAAACTCATAGTGCTCAGCATGATGATTTATTTATGGCACAATTTTCAGCAATTTTTTTTTGCAGAACTAGACAATTAAAATGAAACAATGCATCCCTAAGGACCCTCTCTTTTTTTGTAATTCCCACCATTTTGTCACTAAATATAAATATTAGCTCACTGTTAGCTATACTGTTTAATTACAACTAGAAATGTAAACGGTTTTCTCCTCCTCCTGTATTTCCAGAGTCTATACTTTCTAAAGACTTTAAGCCAAAGGAATCGCTTCAAAGATCAGAAAAAGGACGCAAGTGTGATTCATCGAGGGAAGACTCCAAACACAGGCACAAACGAGAAAAACAGAGACAGCAGAGAAGCTCCAGTGAAGACGAGGAGGAGGAGGATGGAGGAGAAACAGAGGACTCTGAGGAAGATGAACAGCCCCTCCGCAAGAGGTCGAACCGCATCGAAACAGACGAAGAAGAGGAGGAAGAGGAGAACACACGAGGAAGCGTCCGGTGGAAGCACACGGCGGGCTCTCGAGGTCCCGTCAGGCACAACGGCTTGGTCCCCCTGAGGGCCGCAGCTCAGGATGACGACGATGATGAGGATGAGGAAGAGTTCACTGGAGTCACGGACCTTGTTAACTTTGTTTTCGACAGTGAACAGTTGTCATGATCAGCTCAGTAGGTTAAATATGTTTTCTCATCGCCTTGTCACGGGAATGTCCCTCATCAGCCACCGTAGTCTGCTGGTTTTGGGTGTAGTGGACCAAAAATGAAGCTTCCAGACGAATGCCGTAGTGTCCGTTCCGATGTTTGAATGCACTCTAGTTCATCCAGCCGCATGCATCGTCCTACCGGTTTAGAACAGGGTCTTCTTAATACTCCAGTCACCATTCCTCAGAGTGAAGCACTTTGCCATTTACGGCCAGTACGATTTCGTTTGTATAGCAGCTTCGGTCGTCCTCTAGAGACACTGGACGGCGCGCATTTGAAGCTTACGTGTTACGTGCATTTCAGACTGGTGTTTTAGACTTCTACATTCTCCGTGTTGCTGTTTTCTTCTTTTTGTACCTGAAGGAATTTTGGGATTGACTTGTGATGCCGAACCTTGCCTAAATGCATTCATTCAATTTAAGGAATAGTTCACCCAAAAATGAAAATTTGCTGAAAATGTAGATGACTTTGTTTCTTCATGGGAGCAGATTTGGAGAAATGTAGCATTGCATCACTTTCTCACCAATGCATCCTCTGCAGTGAATGGGTGCCGTCAGAATAAGAGTCCAAACAGTTGATAAAAACATAACAGTAATCCACACCACTCCAGTCCATCAATTACCGTCTTGTGACGCCAAAAGCTGCATGTTTGTAAGAAACAAATCCATCATTAAGATGTTTTAACTTCAAGTTGAGTCCTCTGTCCAGTGAAAAAGTCTTGTCTGGATCAGGAGAGAAGTATGCAGAGATCCAGCATAATTTACAAGTGAAAACAGTCCGTAACAGCTCTAAACAAATATATGGGTGGATTTTCGCCAACGGCGAACAGACTTTTTCACTGGAGAAAGCGTTATTATGGATTTTAGCTGGAAACAAGGGTTTGAAGTTTAGAACGTCCTAATGATGGATTTATTTCTTACAAATACACAGCTTTTGGCTTCACAAGACATTAACTGATGGACTGGAGTGGTGTGGATTACTTGTGGATTATTGTGATGTTTTTATCAGCTGTTTGGACTCTCATTCTGACGGCACCCATTCACTGCAGAGGAGTGATGGAATGCTACATTTCTCCAAATCTGTTTAAATGGGAAAAAACAAACAAACTCATCTATATCTTAGATGGCCTGAAGGTGAGTACATTTTCAGCAAAATTTCATTTTAGGGTGAATTATTCCTTAAGAAGTAAATTAGTAGACCAGCAAATAAAGGAAGAAACACATTGGAGGATAATTGAAAATGATCTTAATATTAAAGATGATTTTAATTTAAAAGACTAATATACTCTCTGTACCTAAAATAACATTGTATGTTATATTACAACAAATATTATTTGCTTATTTCTCAGATTAGGACATTTTCTGTACTTTGAATGCTGTTGCTGAAGTTTTAGGACACTTAATGAGACGTTCAGTCACATTTAAGTCCCTGTCTGAGTTTTAATGCGTCAACCGAATGCACTTGTCGTTCAAGCACCTTTGACGGTGCCGTTTGGTACCAACCGTATTGTTGAAATGTTCTGTTCGACAACAGTCTGGATCGCTCTTTTCAGAGTTGTTTTTTAGTGTTTACTCCAGGCTGGTGTTCTTTATGCTGGAAGATTGTTTGAATTAGAACACTATGAGATCATTCCAACACAAATCCACCCCTTTACAAAACAAATCCAATATTTAAAAAAACCCACAAGCACTAGAATAATAATGGTGTTTTAAAATAATCATGGTCTTTGCTTTCAGTTAAAGAATGTGTTTTTGAGCCGTGTACTACTGGAATTCGTGTTTTCCTTCTCATTTTATTTCACTCTTACTTTCCAGATGTACATCTCCATATTTCAAGGAAATTATTCACAAAACGGAAATAAACTTAATGTTGCTGTTAATGTTTTTGGCTCCTAGTTTGTCTTTTTTTTTTTTAAGTACCTGTAATGGATTCAAGAAACAAGCAGCATTTACTTATATGGGTAGTTGACAACATGAAAATTTTAATCTATTTAATATTTTAGATTTAAATGCATATGAACATATGAGAACATGTATATTTTAAATGTTTAGAAATGCAAATGTAGTGCTGTGGATGGTATTGAAAGCAGGGCTCTGAACCGGTTCAAGGAACGGAAACGAAAACCGGAAACGAACAAAAATTTTATAGTTCCGAACAGAATGGAACATTTGAAATGGCCATTAACCGGTTAATAACGTTATTTTATCGTTCCATTTAATATTTGAAATTTGCTGTCAACCAATCAGGAATTCAGATATGCAAATGTGACGCTGACGCATCCAACGCCTGAAATTCGCCGCCATTTTGAGAGGATCGCCCTCTGCTACAAATGCTGAAATTGTTTTGTTTTTGCCTTTAAGTTAAATATTCACATTCTTAATTTGATCGTTTGCAGGGAAGAGAAGCTATTTTATCGCTATATTAACTTTTGTAATTACACGTTAAACGTTTTCGTCCCTTTAGAAAATCGTAATGGAGAAAACGCTTATGCATTAAAGACAGTATTTAAAGTTCACATTTTGGGTTCATCAGTTTTTCTACAGACATTATGCTTCATTAGTAAGGTGTGTACAGAATGTGGTCTTTTAATATCACTGTCTCGGTACATTAAGCATTCTTTATATGAGAGGAAAATGCTTAACGTGTAAATAAACGTGTTGCGTCCACATTTTGGGCTTATGTGGGTATCTGCACGCAGTATATGCTTAAGAGTTTTGCGACCTGCTTCCCTTGGGGTTTTTAGACATAGAAAAGGCGAAAAAACACACTGCATTGTCCATTTTTCCCTCAGAACGATGATCGGGGTTACTTTTGCAATTCTCGATGCAGCATGAATGACAAACAATGGTGACATTTTCCACAATCACGACAGAAAATCAAAATACTCTGCCCTCTGAGAGTTTCCCAGAACTCAACGCGGCATTTACATTTTGAAACATTAATTAAACATGTTATAATGCAAAGTAGTTGTTTAAATCAGGTGAATTAGTTAAACTGTGAACAAAGAAAATTGTGCAGTATCTCCTCCGATCCTGAAGAGGCGCTAGGCTTTTGTCTATGATTTGAAACGCTCGCGCTCTTTTCTTGCGTCATAAAGCGGCGCGTCTGGCGCTGATAGAAATAATAACAGTAGAATCTCCTTAAAATGGGCGACGCTTAGCGGCCATCTATAATTAGTCCGTTAAGATGTGTAAAAATAATAAATAGCTTTCAATCCCTATTAACGTTTCTTAGTACTGCTTCCAAGTGCTATTTTTGATCCATATCGCTGCTAAAGGAGATCCGGGGGGCGGGGTTGGATCCACATCTAGGGGGTGGAGATGGGTAGGTTTAGGGCGGTTTAGGGGGGGAGATGGGTAGGTTTAGGGCGGTTTAGGGGTGGAGATGGGTAGGTTTAGGGATATATAAGGTGAGAGGAGTTGGATCTGGATGCCGTGAGGACTATCTCACTAAAGCAGCAACGCGCAGCGATGTCACGTGCCAGCTGTTACTTTTCTCCACGTTGCAGACCTTGGACCAATCAAAATCGTTTATGATTACATATTAATGTATTTGTTTAATCTTCCTACAGATATTGCTCCGCTGAATATTCGATTGTTTAATATATACTTATCGTTGTAATTGGTTTATTTTAGACGCAAACGTCTCCAATAAGACAAAAAACGTATTGAGATCTGAATGCGTCTCAATGCAGAATCCGTCTTTCTGGGCCACATAGCGCCGCTTGCAGTAATACGCCGGGATAAACACAAGAACCAGTTATTAGAGCCAGGTCAGTGACGCATGACAGCGAGTCTTTGAACTATAAAATACATTTGAAAGTTTCTCGCCACGCGAACCGGCCGCGTCTCGATTGCACATGAATGCAGTTAAAGGAGAAAGCTTCGTGACGCTTGAATGAGAGTTACTGTTGTTGTTGCTGCCGCGCTTTATTTGCGTATTGTCTCAATAGAGCATCAGTGTTAGCGCCTTCACAGCTTCACAGTGATTTAATTCATCAGGATGGTTGTGTTAAAGAGTTTGCATCCACCCAGCGAGGGCGTGAGGCTCCAGCAGGCCGACACAACTGCAGTTCTGGACGGGAAGAGGCTGGGATCAGGGACGCTGTTTGTGGCAGAGGCGTGAGTGTCTTACAGCATCAGTGTTGTGTTCGTGTGTGTGTGTGTGTGTGTGTGTGTGTGTGTGTGCTACAGCATCAGTGTTGTGTGTGTGTGTGTGTGCGCGTGTCCAACATCATCAGTGTTGTGTGTGTGTGTGTCCTACAGCAGAAGACACCTGTGCATGCATTTAGTTATGTATGCATAAACTCTAAAAATAAACATATATTATGGCTAGCAAGGGTAGTAGACACATTACGAAAAGTAATGAGGTAGTACCATGGTACAGTGGTATCATTCAATATAGTGAGATATAAATAAGTAACGTTATCTAAATGTATTTGTTCATATATTTTTTATTTATTATATGTAATTATTTATTATAATTATATGTATTACAATATATTGTACATAATATTATATAAATAAAATGTAATTATTTATTTTTTTATTATTGTTTATGTATTATATTACAGAATATATTATACATGTTAGAATATATTATACGTTACAAATACATATCTAAATATACTTATTTTTATTTGTTTATAAATTTCAGTATCTATTATGTACAATATATTATGTTATACATCATGTATAAAATATTATTTAATTACGTTTGTTTATTTATTTTACATATATCTTATATAATTTATAATCTAGAATTAAAGAATTTAATTATTTTAATTATATACAAGTAATTTATTTCTTTATTTTAAGAATTACAAAGTAATTATTTTATTGCTTACAAGTAGTTTATTTCATTATTCTAGAATTACAGAATAATTCAATCTAAAACAAAAATGTGTGTGTGTGTGTGTATATATATCTTTACAAATTGATATGTTTTATATTTAATTAGACATTTATTTTATGTATATTTTATATTTATAATGTATAATACTTGTTATACATGTAAATAATTATATTTTTATATATTTGTACATTTCATTATTTTATGTAAAATATATTCCATAATATAATATCATATTTTTATTATTGTCCATTTTATATTTATCATATATAAATTATATAACAATTAATATATTTAGTTATTTATTACCTATTTATTTATTTTGTGATACTATATATAAATGGTTATTTATATATTAATTAATTTATTTTTCATTACTTATATGTATTATATTAATAATTATGTATTATACGTTTCATACACACACACACACACACACACACACACACACACACTCGTACATAGTATTTTCATGGTATCTCATGTCAAAAACAAGCAACAAACAAACAAAAACGGTGTTAGCATGCCATGATGTTTTTGGGATATCTGTACTAATGCAGCTGTTCTCTGTCCTCGCAGGCATCTGTCCTGGTTTGATGGTTCAGGGATGGGTTTCTGTCTTGAGTACCCCTCCATCAGTCTGCACGCGATCTCACGAGATCTCAGTGCCTTTCCAGAAGAGCACCTGTATGTGATGGTCAATGCAAAACTGGACGGTGAGGCATCATCTTCCAAACAGAGATGCTCTGGTGTCCAGAGGTTTGACCTGACCGATCTTCTTTGTGTTTCCAGATGAAGCTGAAGCAGAGCAGCAGGATAAAGCTTCGGATGATGCAGGAGAGGACGACGAGGAGAGCGACAGCGACAGTGAAGACTCAGGAACCATCACAGAGATCCGCTTCGTGCCCAGTGATAAAGCCGCATGTGAGTGTGTGGAGCGAGCGTGGATGAGTTGAGCGTGAGCATCACTGCTGGATGAGTAACAGTGTGTGTGTTTGTGTGTGCAGTGGAGCCCATGTTCTCCGCCATGTGCGACTGTCAGGCCCTGCACCCCGACCCCGATGACGCCGACACCGATGACGACGATTACGAGGGAGAGGAGTATGACGTCGAGGAGGCTGGTGAGAGTCATTTGGATCCATAATGCATCTAGTGCAGTGGTTCTCAGCCTTTTGGACTCCAAGGTCCCCCAGAGTCCAAGACAATATTCAAAAGCCCCTCAAACAGGCCAAGACATTTCTGGTACAAAAGCTGCTGTAATGACAAAGCCTTTTTTATTTACACAAACCATGAATAAATGAAATCTTTCATTCTAGAATACTGGAACAAACTACTTATAAGTAATTAAAAGTAAGATAAACATTGTAATTCTAGAATAATGAAATAAGCTACTTTTAAATAATTAAATTCTACAACAATTAAACAAACAACTTTTTAATAAATTCTAAATTCAGTCAATTAAATTCTGTCATTCTTAAAATAATGTAATAAACTGCTTATAAAAAAAGTAAAAAAAAATAAAAATAATTCTGTATAAAATTACAATTGAAATGAAGATAATTACATTCTGTAGTTCTAGAAAAATGAAAAACTAATTTTAAATAATTAAAAAAAAAAGAACAATTTCTGTAATCCTTAAAATAACGAAATAAACTACTTATAAGTGATTCAAATTGAAAAAATTAAATTCCGTAATTCTAGATGTTTTGGTGTTTTTCAGAGTTCACTCTTTTTTTTGAGCAATGAATTTACATTGTTTAATTACAAGATAAGTTTTAAAATCCTTTTTACTCTCAAATGGCAGTTTCTCAGAAAGTCAATACATGATTAAATATTTTAGTGCATGAAATAACTAGAAGAATCTATATTCATTATATACATTTTCATGACTTTTAAAGATTTGATCATTTTCCATGACACTTCCAGGTCTATTAAAAATGGAATGAAATTTAAAAACTAATTTAAAAAAATAAATAGATTTTGATTTTAATTTTGTTTTTTTAATATATACATATATCCAGGCATCACAACCCTTTTTTAAATAAACAAATAAAAATAATAATTTAAATTCCAAATTAAAATAACAAATATGATGTCAGCTTACATCTGGATTTTTAGCAGGTTTAGGTTATTTTAAAGCTGGTTTGGCCTTTTTAGAGTCATCCTGAGCTCTCCTTTAAAGCTTCCCTTAGGCCCCCTAATGACTCCTGGCTCCTGGCTGACAACCACTGATCTGGTTTCTCTCTGCTTTTTAATGGAATATTAAAGTCAGCTTTCACATGGTTTCAATGCTTTTGTATTATTCCTGTTTTCTCTCAGAGCAAGAGCAGGGTCAGGGTCAGGGCGACGTCCCCACGTTTTACACCTATGAGGAGGGTTTGTCTCACCTGACGGCCGAGGGTCAGGCCACACTGGACCGGCTGGAGGGGATGCTGGCCCAGTCCGTCGCACAGCAGTACCACATGGCTGGAGTCAGGACCGATGTGCCTTCGGCTGAATTCGAAGGTCTGTGTGTGACAAAACTCATTATTCATACAGTTTATTTCAGTAGTGGTGGTCTAGTTTAGTTGGTGGTCCCACAATATTGTACCATAGTAACTATAGTTTCCAATATTATTAATATAAAATATATTGCTAAAATGTAGATAACACTTTACAATAAGGTCTCATTTGTTAACATGTGATGCATGAGCTAACAATATGCAGTTTTTTCTTTTACTACATTTATTAATCTTTGTTAAAGTAAACAAATACAGTTGTTCATGTTAGTACACTGTGCATTAACTAATGTTAGCAAATTCAACCCTTGATTTTAAAAATGTATTATTAAATGCTGAAATTAACATTAATGAAAATTATTAAATACTGCAGAATAATTTTGAATTGTTCGTTTTTTTTGCAAGTGGAACGTTATTGAAATGTTACCAAGTGTCACCAAAATGTATATAAAACATTATACAATATTTAAAATATTGTGAAAACTACTATAATATAATGTAACAATATAATATATTATACATTATTTTCACATATTATTTCTATAAAATGATAGAATTATAGAATTATTGCTGTAAAACTGTACCACAACAGAAATTTTGCACTTGGTCACCAAAACAGAAATAAAACAAAGTGTCAAAAAATCTGACAGCTTCTTAACCTGTTTTATGGACATCCCAGATGAATTTACTTGATTTTAAAATGTATAAATTAAGAAAAATAATGCACACGAGAAGCCACTAGATGGCAGTGAGAGAGAATGGTCATGCTACTTTAAACCCCACATGATGCTAAAACAGTCATGTTTTTAACCGAATGCATGAGTGTTTTGTTCAGCGTGTGTGTGAGCATGTGGTTTGGTTTCAGTCGGTGGAGGATGAGTGTTTTGAGAGAGGCAGAAGTGTGCGAGGTCAGATGGGTGTGTGTCTGGAAGCAGGATTTCCTGAGGGCTAATGGATGTGTAATGGGTAAAGCCCAGCGGAGCAGCACAGGGCAGGATGGTCGTAATTGAATACGGTGATCAAACTTTTCTCTCTCTCTCTCTGTGTTCAGATGGAATGGAAGTCGACTCAAGCACAGTTGCTGGACAGTTTGATGACGCTGATGTGGATCACTGGTAAATATATACAACTGTGTCTTCAAAATCCTGATTGTCCAATTCCATTACCTGTCCTGGCCAGTGTTATTTATATACTATTATAAAATGTATTAATATTTTGAATTGGGTCTTATTTCATTTATTTATTTTTTCATTTTGTTATTTATATTTATATATATATATATATATATATATATATATATATCTTTTTTATTTTATTTTTTTCCAAAATATTTTATATTATATTATAATTTTAAATATTAGTATTGTTTTTTAAAATGTTTTATTTGTACTTAGTTTTTTTTTTGTTTAACTTTTCTTATTTGTTTTTTAATATTTCTATTGTTTTAAAAACATTATTTTGTTTTATTTTGTTTAAATATTTATGTTAGTTTTTTTAACCATTTCCATTTTGAATATTTCTTTTTAGATTTATTTTTGTTTCGTCTGCAATTTTAGTAATTTTGAGATTTTTGTTAGTTTTTGTTGAAATATTTGTTTTTACATATTACCGATATTTTCATTTCAACATTTCATTCTATATAGATTTATTTCATGTAGTTTTAGGTTATTTTAATACTTCAGCTTAAACTTGTTTATTTCAGTTAGTTGCCAGGGCAATGTTTCAAATTTTCAAAGTTCAAGATTTTCAAGTTTCAATTTTTCATCTAATATTTATATTTTATTTCATCTTTATTTCAGTTACTGAATGCTATTTTTAATAGTTTGTTTTAGTTGACAAAAACAACACTGGTTCTGGACAGAAACTGATGAAAGTTGACACAGTCAGAACTGACCAGCCAACTTTCACTCACACTTCAAGAAATAATTCATCCAAAAAATTTAAATTCTATCATTTACACCTTCGTGTCGTTCCAAACCCGTATGATTCTCGTCAGAATGATGACTTCTGCTGCTGTTGTGTGGCTCCTTGTCCAAGCTCCTGTGTGAATCTGAATTCTTCAATCTGTTGACAGATGAACTGCGTTTCTGTACGGCTGATTGAAGCACTTCAGTGGGGCATGCTGGGATACCGGCTGACTCTCAAAGCTCTTATAATTTCTGTTTTACACCACGGCCGTACATTTCCAGATCCACGGCCCTGTGTAGCTTCCACTAATCGATTTTGTAGTTTTCCCTGAAGACCAACTTCCAGAATGATCCTCCTCAGTGGAATGATGTTGATGAGTTTGTTAGAGATTTCAATAAATACAGCTGTTTTTGTACCAAAGCCTCATTTTTTTCCATATTTGGTGTTTTGTTTCTCTATGAAATATTGGGCGGTTCTTTTTATAATTTGTTGTATTGTGTTGAAGTGTGCTAAAATACTAATTTAGCTCATTTTGGCTCGTTCTCAGTTTGTATTTATAGTCAGATGTTTATGAGACATCCTTCTCTAATAATTTCCTGTGTATTTCCTCACGGGAGATCAAATATTTTATCGGTGAATTCATCCAGCAGTCGTATGGATGAATCTCACAAAGTCTGTCAAGACATGTCTGGGTGATTTCAAAATCAAAGAAAGATATGAGACCATATTCTTTGTGAAGAAAATCAAGCCTATTTTTAGTTTTATTTATTTATTTATTTTTGTGTTGTGCATAACATGGTTAATATCATTAACTAAAATAATAAAAAATGCTTTACTTGATATAAAATAAACATTAACTGTAATAAAATGTAAAACAAAATGTAAAATGTAAAAAAAAAAAAATTTTTTATTTCAGCTATAACTCAAAAATTAAAAAATGGTCTAAGGATTTCTGTTTGTGCTCCGATAATGATTTCTCTTTCCCTTGCTTGTGCTGTTTGTCACTGTATTAGTGGACTTCAAGTCGCCTTTCCTCCTGTTTAAACCCTTATATTATTCAGTGCTGTTATCGGACAGATATTCTGTGCATTTATCATGAATGAATGCGTGTTCAGGCAGTGCTGGAGTTTGTGTTATTTCTCTCTCTATTGAGTAGGACTTAGTCCTAATGACAGATTACAGCGGCGACACACAGAACAGGCCCAGGCTGAGCAGCTTGCACAAGTACAAAATGTTTCAGAAATGTACTATTTATATATATTAAATGCATATCTGTTGGCCTCTAAATGAACGCCATACTTATTCTCATGAGACCTGAGCGTGAGTGTGCTGAGATGATCTTGCTAATGATTCACTCATGATACTTTACACACCTGCTAAAACTTCCTCCCAATCTTTTAACAATCAGTAGTTCTGAAGGGAATCAGTGCTTTTGTAATTAAAGCACCCTGAATAATCCCATCATTACTGTATTTCACACATTAAGAAAACTCAAGTAGCACTCAAATGTAAGATTAAAGGAACAGTTCACCCCAAAATTAAAATTAGCTGAAAATTGACTTGCTCTCAGACCATCCACGATTTTGAGTTTGTTTCCTCATGGGAGCAGATTTGGAGAAATGTAACACTACATCAGTGTCTCAGCAATGGATGCTCTGCAGTGAATGGGTGCCGTCAGAATGAGAGTCCAAACAGCTGATAAAAACATCACAATAATCCACAAGTAATTCACAGCACTCCAGTCCATCAGTTAATGTCTTGTGAAGCCAAAAGCTGTGTTTGTAAAACAAATCCATCAAGATGTTTTTTTAACTTCAAACCCTTGTTTCCAGCCAAAATACAGGTCCATAATCCATAATAACGCTTCCTCAAGTGAAAAAAGTGAAATCTCCTGTTGTCCTTCACATCAAAATCCTCATATATAATTGTTTAGAGCTGTTTTGGACTGGTTTGGCTTTTAAGCTGTGCTTGATCTGTGCAGATTTCTCTCCTGATTCAGACAAGATGGACTTTTCACTGGAGGAAGTAATATTATGGATAGAGGTATTTTGGCGAGAAGCAACAGTTTAAAGTTAAAAAAGTATTAATGATGGATTTGTTTATTACAATCATGCAGCTTTTCACTCCATACGATGTTAACTGCTGGACTGGAGTAGGGTTGTGCCAATAGACAGAGATATCGCCTGTGGCTGATGCCTTTGACGATAGCAAAACGATTATTATTATTATCATTATCATTATTATCAGGCTAGTAGTACTATCTAATTAAATATTAGGGCTTATTTGTTGCATCTCCATACGATGTTAACTGATGGACTGGAGTAGGGTTGTGCCGATAGACAGAGATATCGCCTGTGGCTGATGCCTTTGACGATAGCAAAACGATTATTATTATTATCATTATCATTATTATCAGGCTAGTAGTACTATCTAATTAAATATTAGGGCTTATTTGTTGCATTATATTTCCTTTTCCGCGTTTTTACAGTATTGCACATTCTAACCAATCACACAAGATTATGCTGAGTTTATGAATGCAATGGCCAATCAGAGGCGTTCAGATGAGTCATCACTGAAACAGCGGAGCCCCGTTGTTCAGCGCGCGCTGACTGAATTCTGATTTGCGAATTCTCTCATTATAAACAACAAAGTGCAGATGTACGTGCAATGTAAGTATAAGAGATTTATTCATCATATAGTGTAGATTCACTGAGTTTAACGGGAGTGTTTTTAAAGTGCATAAACTCGCGCTAGACTGAGCTTGTGATGATGTCCTTTGATAATGTAATGCTCTTTGCTCGTTTTCTGTAGCTGCTTTTTGAGTAACCGAGGAAATGTAAGCATTAGAATTAGTAACTTACGATGTTTCTATTAATTTGTTATCATGTTAAATACAAATTCAGTCATATTAAAAACATTGGGCTGCTTTTAGCCTTACGCTGGGGTTGGTTCACTTTCTCGCAATGAAACTAAGTAAATAATTACATAAATTAGCGCGATAATATCGTGTATCGGCGATCTCACAGGCTGATGATAGGACGATATGAAAATTGAGCATATCGCCCAACACTAGACTGGAGTGCTGTGGATTATTGTGATGTTTTTATCAGCTGTTCTGACTCTCATTCTGACGGCACCCATTCACTGCAGAGCATCCACTGGTGAGCAAGATTTCTCCAAATCTGATGAAGAAACAAACTCCCCTACATCTTGGATGGCCTGAGGATGAGGATGACATTTTCAGCAAATTTTTATTTCTGGGTGAACTATTCCTTTAAAGCTGGAATTTGACAGCACATCAAGTCAACCATTTGCATTCATGATGTGAACACCCTGCTACATCTCACAATTTTTCACTTTCATTTGTTCTGTTTTGTTTGCCTTTTGTTGCACGCTGTAGTGAAAAATAAATGGCCAGATCAGTTTGGTTCAGCACATCTGTGCGTTCACAAAAGTTCAAAGGTCCATCAGAAACTATTTCACAACAGCCTGTTTGCCCTCTCAGGTTACATAACCACTGAGCCATGTGCTTTTATGTAAAGTTTAATTACAAACAGATTTTTATCACTGCTTTATTTAAATCCTCGTAACACAGGAGTGTGTTATTATCCCATATTATACATTCTGCATTGGCTTGTAGACGCGGCACTCAATCCGGTCTGGTCTACCCAGGTTATTTTACCCAGAATAATCCAAAGGCACTGCAAAACTGTGTTTAAGATTAGTAGTATTACTATAACATTTACCTTTTACTAGGTAAGAACCATCGCTAGTAGAATGTAACACAAAATAGTATTCTAACAGCAATAGAACACTTCAGGTCTCTTATTCCAGCAATGTCCATCTGTTAAAATATGATTTAACAAAACTCATTTACAGTTGATTCTCGGCACACAGGCCATGTGCTTTTTATGAATGTTACTGTAAACCTGCAGCTATATGTCATTAGAGGTTCATTGTGCTTCATGAATATGCATGTTCTTATTAAAAAAGACATTTTGAAAGCATTTTAGATTTCACCAAAAACCTTCTAAAAAAGAAAAACATTAAGGAACCTTCAATTTCGTTATTCAGAGTTTCTGCAGGTTTTATGAAGATAAATGTAAGACTTTAAAGAAAAAAATGAAAGGAATAAACTTAATGGAACACAATACTTTAATATGGTCTCTAAATGTAAATGTCTTGTATTAGTGCAAATGTCTAAAGATTTTCATATCAAGATACATTTATTAGAGAAGCAAAATAACTAAAGTCTTGTTTTCTGAGAAATTGATTAAAACGAACAAGTATCTGCTAGTAGGCTTAGACAAATCAACTTGATTCAAATGGAAACGTTTTCATTCGCCATTGACAGATGTTTGTTCTTGTTGTAGTCAAACTCGCTTATTTTTGTTAGATTTCTCAGAAAACAAGACTTCATATGTTCAGTTTGCATCTCAAGAAAGTATATCTTGATTTAAGGATGTTCAGATATTTGTATTAGAAATACAAGACAAAATACTGAGGAAGATCATTTGTCCTGTGCACCCAACATTTATGTTATGAATTTAAGACTTTCTGCTCTAAGACCTTTTCAGGCCTTGAGAAGGGCGAATTAAGACCTTTTAAAACCTGCAGAAACCCTGGTTAATACTTGGAGATGAGCTGGAGAATTACAGTGTATATTCACAGTATATAATCACATATGCAATCAGAGTCTGTCATAAGGCATTAGTTCACTTCATCTTTTTCGTCTCGAGTCCATTAGAGTTCAGGTGCTTTGGAATTGTGCTTTTCCCTGAAATAGCAGGGATCACTTTGTCAAAAAGCAGCAGAGAGCCTGTCATACCTGTAAGATAAACAGCATGAAGAACACATAGAACTGTATTTTTCTTGCTGTTTTTAATAAATACTATGAGTTATCATGCACACACGTGCTTTATGATTGTAGGTTTGGTTTGTGAGCAAATAAACACTGAGAAATACATGTGGTGCTTAAATGATTCTCAGACATTTTGCTGAATAGTTAGTGTTGTTCATGATTTTCCTCTGGCACTAAAGACACTTTATTGATTGGCCTTTTGTTATACTTGTTTGACAGGATACACTTGTTTTCCTAACAAAAATAACAATTATTTAATTACAGAACAGTCTCTGAAGGATTTCTTCAAAGGTCAAAGTGAATGTTGTAATACTAACGCTCACCCAGTATTGGTCCAATCCAGTACACAAAACTGTACTCCGCAAAAGTGTTCCCAGGACAGGAGAACTGTATTGAGAACGCCAGTGCCGGGTTAAACACCGCGCCAGTGAGATGACCACCTTCACACAATACAGTACAGAATGAACAAAAGATAGAACGAACAATAGCAAAGAATGATGATAGACAGACAGATAGATAAAAATATGATAGAATGAACGATAGCAAAAAATGGTGATAGATAGATATATAGGATGAACAATAGAAAAAATTATAGACAGAATGAACGATAGAAAAATAAAGATCGATGATAGAAAAAAATTAGATATACAAACAGAGACCGATAGAATGAACGATAGAAAAATAAAGATAGATAGATAGATAGAATGAACGATAGAAAAATAAAGATAGATAGACAGATAGAAAAAATTATAGATATACAGTGGTGTGATAAAGTGTTGGCCCCCTTCCTGATTTCTTATTTTTTTTGCATGTCACACTTTGTAATGTTTCAGATCAAACAAATTTAAATATTAGTAAAAGATAACACAAGTGAACACAACATGCAGTTTTTAAATGAAGGTTTTTATTATTAAGGGAAAACAAAATCCAAAACTACATGGCCCTGTGTGAAAAAGTGTTTGCCCCTTAAACCTAATAACTGGTTGGGCCACCCTTAGCAGCAACAACTGCAATCAAGCATTTGCGATAACTTGCAATGAGTCTGTTACAGATGTTGTGTTCACTTGTGTTATCTTTGACTAATATTTAAATTTGTTTGATGATCTGAAACATTAAAGTGTGACAAACATGCAAAAAAATAAGAAATCAGGAAGGGGGCCAACACTTTTTCACACCACTGTACAACCAGATAGATAGACAGATAGATAGATAAATAGATAGAATGAACGATAGAAAAATATAGATAGATAGATAGAAAGAAAAATGACAGATATACAAACAGATAGATAGATAGATAGAAAAATGATAGATATACATACAGATAGATAGATAGATAGCTGATTTTGATTTGACATGCATGGGGAAAAAGCCAATAAGAACACTTGCACAGCTTATAAAGTACTGTGGTGGTAGCATGGTAGCTGTGGTCAGTGCACACACCTGCATAGACTAATATGGTGATGACAGCAGCTATTGCAGGAACGCGATATTTCTCCTCCACCTTCTCCACGTTAAACGCCGCAGTGTGCATCACAAACGCGCAGCCCAGCTCCACCGCGGCGGCCTGCAGCAGAGGCGCGTTAACGGGGCTGTTCGTGCATGAAAAGCCCGTCAGCGAGTGCTGCGCGTGCAGGTCAGAGAGCGCCAGCGCCCACGCGTGAGGCATGACGCGCCGCGCCGCCTCCGCCGCGATCAGCTGGCATGAGATCCGCGTCAGTGCGCATCGCCGCGTCAGAGTCCCGAGGTAGAGCTGCTCCAGAGCGCCGGTCGGGCTACAGATCGCGCCGCGGAATGAAAGTCCGTGCACCACCGAGATGAGGAAGGTGAGCGTCAGCGCGATCCGCGGCTCCAGTCCGCCCATCTCCGCGAGCAGCTTTAACTCGTGCGTGCATGCACACAGCTGAAAAGTGGAGATCAACTCGAGCGCATAGATGATCCAGTTTCGATTTGGGAATAGATATAAAGCCGTTCTCCTCGCCACTTCGCTAAAAACTACAATCCCCAGCAGCAAGGACAGGGAGACGGCGAGATCGGCCATCTCTGCCATCGCATGATCCAGATCCTCCGAATAATCGTGTTAAACTCTGATCCAGTTTTAGGCAACTTTACAACGACCACGCCTCCGCGCCAATAGCCCCGCTCACTTCGATTCAATCAGTGCAACCCACTATTGCAAAAAGCTTGGCTCATGAATATTAAAAAGATGATGCTAGAGGCTTCCTGGAGTGTCTATAATAAAAACTATAATCAGTGTTGGGAAGGTTACGTTGGTACAAGTTGCCCTATTTAAAATGTAATAAGTAGTGTAACTATTTCAATTACTTTAAAGTAATGCAACTGATTACATTTGATTACTTTTCTAAATTTCTAGCAAATGTTTTCAACTGTTATTCATTTTCAAACTGTTATAGCAGGCCAGGTTATCCTTACAGTATAGAACTCAACACTGATGTCAGACTTTGAATATTGCAAGTCACCATGAGTCGCTATTCTTATGAGTCATGGTGATCTGGGCAAAAGCAAAAAGGTCATTATAGTATCAAAGTTAAAAAAGGAAATGTATTTGATATGATACGTAAACAGATATGCATGTACATAATACCTAATAAATCAAAAAATAAATATAATGTGCATAATTCTCTCTTCAAAATGTTGCCTTCTGCCTTCTGGCCAAAACAGCCAGGCACTATATTTCAGGCTATATTCCGCTTGAAAATTAAAACATTCATAACTATACATTGTCCGACACAACTGACATATTTATACATAGAATCTGAAAATTGTACATTTGTAAACTACACACTTGTAAATAACATATGTACATTCATTTAAACAATTATGTTTTCCCTATATTTCTACTTCTGTATATAGTGCATTATTTAATTTTCTGTTTTTCTTATATTAGCCCTTTAACTGTCACCCATCCTCTGTGGGACGCCTAAGTTTGCTTCACTATATTACAATTAAATCCTAATCTAATCATGACAAGCTACATATCGTTGGAAAGGTCTAAGACTCCTAAATAGATATTGTACCAATGTTTTGTTAAAAATTATGTAGGAAAAGTAATAGATTAATTTATGACGAGTGCACCTCAAAAATCTACATCATAACAGGAGTTCTGACCTTTGTCAAAAAAAGTCTTCTTTGTTGCCTTTTTCTCTATCACACTTTAGAAATCATCAGAAATTATATATCAATTGAAAACTTTAAATCTCAAAATTCATCCTTTGAAACCCATTTTAAAATCAAACATCGCATTACCATGAAAATGGTACATCAGTATCATGTTACAAAATGTTTTCGTTCATTAATTATACAAATTTAAGTTTGGATCGTGCACTTTCATGTCTATGTTCAAAAATGTGAGTGACAGTTAAAGGGTTAATGTTATATTCCATTTCTACTGAGTTATTCCTATGTATGTCTGCACTATCATGTATATTGCACTATGTCTGTACTTTCTTCTGCACTAGAAGCTCCTGTCGTCAAGTGAAATTCCTTGTGTGTAAACATACTTGATAATAAAGCTCTTTCTGACTTCTGACTAATAGCTAATGAATCAAAAATCAAAATTGTTAATTTAGCTATTTTGATGAAATATTGTATATATTATCCCTAATAATAAAAAACAAACAAAGCAATTATTAAACATTTACAGGTGCTTCATCACCTTTAACAGTGGTAATCCTCAACATTAGCTGGTCTGTTATCTGTTAATTACCTGCAGAGGGCGCTGAGATGCTTAGTAATGGAGTTTCCAACTTAGTTACTGTAATAATTTTACTTTTTGCAGTAACCAGTAGTGCAACTAATTACTAATAAGATTTCAGTAATAATATTACAGTTACCATCCATAAAACAGCTTAGTTACTTAGTTACTTTTGATGCCTCAACCCCACTGATTTAAAATCCAACAATCAAATAATTTCTAGATTTATTTTCATAGTTTTCACAACTCAATGCAGCAGGCAAGTTTGGAATATGGAAAAGCTTACATTCAGCAGATATAAATATTGCATTATATTGATTTTGTCAGGAAAAAAGATGATCTGAACACTGTTGTGTAAGTTGTGGCTTTACTTTACTCTGGCATTACATCCCACCCACATCCCTCTGATCAGCACGTGGTACATTATATTACTATAATTAAAAATCTTTTTGGAAAATTAAACAGTTTCTTACAAACTTGATAAAATAGCCTACATAATGAAATTGTAATCGTATATGGGTAACGGAGAAATTACAGTTAGCTTCAAGCTACACGTGACAATTAATGAGATTAATACAACACTTGTACTTGAATGTCACTATCAATCACTACTGAGTGTTTGTAATAACTTCTGACTGCGATCCAATGTGGATTTTGGTGAAATGATGAGGCAGAAATATGTTGTTAGTTTTACTTGAATGTCACTATCAATCACTACTGAGTGTTTGTAATAACTTCTGACTGCGATCCAATGTGGATTTTGGTGAAATGATGAGGCAGAAATATGTTGTTAGTAACTTTCTAGAAGAATTTTATGTGGAAGTTACACACTGACAACTTCTGTGGGGCGTGAAGAAAAAGTAATGTAACTAGTAGTGTAACTAATTACTGTCACCAGTAAGTAATAAGTAAAGTAACAATATTACTTTAGAAAGGAGTAACTAGTAATGAGTAATATATTACATTCTTTGAGTAACTAGCCCAACACTGATTAACACACACACACACACACACACACACACACACACATATACACACATATATTTATTTGTTGTCATTTTTATCTGCTAAAAATTAAGTTCATAGTAATATAATACATATTAACACTGACTGTTAAAACTACAGTAAAACAGTATTATTGTGAAATATTATTACAGAATTGTTTGTTGTCTACGCACACACACACACACACACACACAACAAACAATTTTGTAATTATATTTTACAATAATACTGTTATATAATACTGTATATATAATATATCCTTTGAATATACCCTTATTCTATCTATCTATCTATCTATCTATCTGTCTGTCTGTCTGTGTCTATCTATCTATCTATCTATCTATCTATCTATCTATCTATCTATCTGTCTGTCTGTCTGTCTGTCTCCCTATCTTTCTATCTGTCTGTCTCTCTATCTGTCTGTCTGTCTGTCTCTATCTTTCTATCTATCTGTCTGTCTGTCTCTCTATCTATCTGTCTGTCTGTCTATCTGTCTGTCTATCTATCTATCTATCTATCTATCTATCTATCTATCTATCTATCTATCTATCTATCTATCTATCTATCTATCTATCTATCTATCTATCTATCTATCTATCTATCTATCTATCTATCTATCTATCTATCTATCTATCTATCTATCTATCTATCTATCTATCTATCTATCTATCTATCTATCTATCTATCTATCTATCTATCTATCTATCTATCTATCTATCTATCTATCTATCTATCTATCTATCTATCTATCTATCTATCTATCTATCTATCTATCTATCTATCTATCTATCTATCTATCTATCTATCTATCTATCTATCTATCTATCTATCTATCTATCTATCTATCTATCTATCTATCTATCTATCTATCTATCTATCTATCTATCTATCTATCTATCTATCTATCTATCTATCTATCTATCTATCTATCTATCTATCTATCTATCTATCTATCTATCTATCTATCTATCTATCTATCTATCTATCTATCTATCTATCTATCTATCTATCTATCTATCTATCTATCTATCTATCTATCTATCTATCTATCTATCTATCTATCTATCTATCTATCTATCTATCTATCTATCTATCTATCTATCTATCTATCTATCTATCTATCTATCTATCTATCTATCTATCTATCTATCTATCTATCTATCTATCTATCTATCTATCTATCTATCTATCTATCTATCTATCTATCTATCTATCTATCTATCTATCTATCTATCTATCTATCTATCTATCTATCTATCTATCTATCTATCTATCTATCTATCTATCTATCTATCTATCTATCTATCTATCTATCTATCTATCTATCTATCTATCTATCTATCTATCTATCTATCTATCTATCTATCTATCTATCTATCTATCTATCTATCTATCTATCTATCTATCTATCTATCTATCTATCTATCTATCTATCTATCTATCTATCTATCTATCTATCTATCTATCTATCTATCTATCTATCTATCTATCTATCTATCTATCTATCTATCTATCTATCTATCTATCTATCTATCTATCTATCTATCTATCTATCTATCTATCTATCTATCTATCTATCTATCTATCTATCTATCTATCTATCTATCTATCTATCTATCTATCTATCTATCTATCTATCTATCTATCTATCTATCTATCTATCTATCTATCTATCTATCTATCTATCTATCTATCTATCTATCTATCTATCTATCTATCTATCTATCTATCTATCTATCTATCTATCTATCTATCTATCTATCTATCTATCTATCTATCTATCTATCTATCTATCTATCTATCTATCTATCTATCTATCTATCTATCTATCTATCTATCTATCTATCTATCTATCTATCTATCTATCTATCTATCTATCTGTCTGTCTGTCTGTCTCTCTATCTTTCTATCTATCTGTCTGTCTGTCTCTCTATCTTTCTATCTGTCTGTCTGTCTCTCTATCTTTCTATCTATCTATCTATCTCTCTATCTTTCTATCTATCTATCTGTCTGTGTCTGTCTCTCTATCTTTCTATCTGTCTCTCTATCTTTCTATCTGTCTGTCTGTCTGTCTCTCTATCTGTCTGTCTGTCTATCTGTCTGTCTGTCTGTCTCTCTATCTTTCTATCTGTCTGTCTGTCTGTGTCTAGGCCTCATCCCTGTTATTTCTAAGGCAGATATGTAGGGTTGTATGATGAAATATCAGGCATGTGGTGTCTTTAATATCCCATGTTCCTCCTCCACTGGCGCAGGTGACGCGTCTCGTGAGCGCAGCGCTGCGTGGGGAGTTGTGTCCAGTGGGATCGCGCGTGGGCGGCGCTTCACGCAGCAGGTTTGTGTGCGTCTACAGCAGCAGCGGCGAGACAGACTGACGGAGCGGAGAACACTGGAGCTAATGAGCGCGGAGAGCCGCTGAATGCGTGACAGAGAGAGGGAGAGTC